CTCATACAAGGGACAAAATATACATCAGTTAATACAAGATCTATTGTCCCTATATACAGCCTACAAGTTCCTACACCTTATACATCAGAATATGTGTTGTTCCCCATGTAGATGTGCTTCTCCCTGGCTTTCATTTCTTTAAAGTCCTCGAAGAGGCCTTTTGAGCTTGCGATATGCCAATCAGCACCTGAGTCCATCCGCCATCCTTTGATGTTGCGGTCTGCCAGCAGGCATTCAGAGACCACACAAACAACTTCACGCCTCTTGCTTCCATTCCCGCTATTCTTTGGATTTTACGGGTTTCTATTCTATGGGTAGCGGTTCTTGAAGTGACTTGGCTAACCACATAATAAGCATTTTGGCGGTCTATATTTAGTTTATTGGTTGTACAACTTAGTTCTTTTATTTTTGAACCTATTGTTCTTCTTGTTAAACTTCCCTTGAAATTTCTAGTTATTAAGCTTGTGTTGGCTAAAGTTGGGAGGTTTTTGAGCAAGCATAAGTTCACTCCTTTTATCTTTGTTCATGTGCACTTGCTTTAAAGCTAGTTGCATAGGTAAGTCTCCTAATGTAAGAGATTTTGCTTTCAACCTAAGTGCAATTGTTGCCATCCTCCATGAAGGTGGAAGACTATTTAAGATAGTGGAAACTTGCATGTGCTCGGGGATTTCATTCCCAGCAATGACTAAGTCCTTAGCCATAACGAGCATCTTGTTAACATGTTCCTCTACATTATTACCCTCATTCATCTTACGTGAATTATATTGCTCTACTAGCAATTGGTGGTGTGTTTCAGAGGTTGAGTTGTATTTAGTTTTTATTTCCTCTAGTATTTTCTTAAATGTTTCATGATCCTTAATAAGGTCATCTTGCATAAAAGTAAACATAAATATTTTTGCTATGAGGTCGTCTTCTAAAAATATTTGTGCCCTTTTTCTTTCTTCTTCAGTTGGTTTATCACCAATTTCTGGTGGAGCTTCTCTTAGTACATATATTATCCTATCTTAGATGAGAAGATATTTCATCTTTCTCTTCCACATCCCAAAATTTTTTCCATTCAATTTTTCAACTCTAAAAAGTTCAGTCATTATAATTCTACTGACCATTTGCTAAGTTTTGTATGAGTAAAATAATTCTTTCTAAGTTCTAAAGAAGCTAAACAAGGTACCACAAAATTTTAATATGTGGTAATACTTGTGCAGAGAGAGCGGCAATTATTTTATAAATAATGTTAGTTATTAATTGATGCCTTAAAAAAAATTATGAAATAGGCAATCTCCAAAAAACTATAAGCAAGCAATACAATTATCAAAAAAAAAAAAAAAAATAACTCCTTTATATTATTTGTTTGGGGTGCAAGAGCAATATCAAGAGCTTGTGAGCCCTTACAATAAACGAACAAATATCAAGTATGTTATTCACCTTAGAAGACAAATCAATTTATATATCACACCAAGGCAGTAAGTGCATTAAATAAAAAAACTAGCAATACCAAGATTGAGCAAAATAAGTCTTCTATAAAAAAAAAATTTAATAAAAAAATATCAACAATATATAAGGCAACAGAATGACAAGATATATGTTTAGAGTGACTGTATCTCTAACAGATAATCCACCATAAAATATTTTTCAAAAATACAATATATATGCGATTTAATGGTGGGCTTGCAATAACTTCCACGCAACTTATACACGAGGTTGGAGCCCACCAAAATTTTGCAACTTTCTTAGATTAAAAAGATAGGTGCTGCCCATCCATTTATACCTTTCTGTAATCATAAGCAATATCTTAAATATGGTTGCACGCAATATCATAAAATATGGCTACACATAATATCAAAAAATATATATACCATAAATATGAATATCTTAAAATATGACTGCACGCAATATCAAAAAATATATAGCTGAATGCAATATCTAAAAAATTATAGTTGCACCCAATATCTTCTCACGGCACGCAATATCTTGAACAAGGTCTAGCAAGTGAAATACCAACGAACTTTTGTCACAGTTATATCTTATAAAATGACTTTCAGTAATATCTTGTTTTAAACAATATCTTAGAAACAACTTTCAGCAATATCTTAAACAAGGTCCGGGTCTAGCAAGTGACTTATGTGCTTATCATAATGTAACAACAAGGTTAGCAAGTGACTTATGCGCTTATCATAATGCAAGATATTATGAGTATAAAGTCCAAAAAAAAAAAAACTCATTTTACGTGCTTATCAGAATGCAAGGTATTTTGAGTAAAATAGCAAGTGACTTTTACGTGCTTTCAAGATATTTTATGGGTACAAAGTCAAAAAAAAGAGAAAAAAAAAGAACAGCAGTGACATTCAATGATATGCGCTAAAATTTACTGCAATATTGTCAATAGAGTTTTACAATTTTGAAAACGGACTTTCCTAAAACAAACACGATGAGAGAACAAAATTTGATGATGGCCTTTATGTAGTTAACCTTCCAAAAAGGATGATAACAGATAATTAACTAAATAAATAAATAGAAGATCAAGGAAGGAACTCACGACTCAGCCACACAAGATAGCACAAAAAAGGCGAATTGAGATTGAGAAAATTACAACAGCACCAAGATCATCATAACAACCCTTTGCTCTGATACCAGTGTAAGAAAAAAATTGATGGAGTGCGAGACCAATCCGAGATCAGAGAAGTGATGCCAAAGGCTGGTGATCACAGAGCCCAGATTTTTCTTGCCCTTTTGAGAGAGAAGATAAGGAGTTATGTGTTTTATATATTAAACTCTGTATACCCTTTTATTTATTTTTTATTGCTCTATTCTCCTCTCTCAGGCTTCCTTTTTTATAGGGAGAAAAAAAGTTATCTGTTATATTTCTCAACGGGTCTTTGAGAAAACAAGGATTCTCTGATCTCATGGATATACATCCAACGTTCATATGTACGTTGGTTTATGTGAACGTTGGATGTGATAAACATACAATTCCTCCCACATTTGTAGGCTTCCCCACCCACAATTGTAGGTAAAGTTACACGAGAACTTATCGTCATACGTGCTAACAATTCCTTTATTAAAAAGTGAAAGGTTAAGTTCCTAAGGGGATAGGAACTTAAAAATACAAATATACATAAATAAAAATATATTATGTATTATATTATATTATGTTATGTTACATATTTATATTCATATAATTAATATGTATATGTTATCAAACACAGTACTCATAACTTATTTAATGCTTCCAAAACAAAACATTCAAATTTCTAAAAGATTTAAAAACATTCAACGTTCCAGAATATATCTTTCAAAAAAACAAATGCGTCCCAAGGGTACTTTCAAATTTAAACATTAAAAAGCTTAAAACCTCTTTTTTTATGTGAAAACAGGGATTGTATACAATGAGAATATTACCTTTGATATAGGGAGATCACTATTGCTTACAGCCATTCGATGTGAAATTTGATAACTTGGGTATTACAAAGTTCAAGAAAATTTCTTTTGAACTTTTAGCTTGGTCAATGAAATAAATGTAGCCACCTAATTTCATATCCAATGAACAAGATCAATTGTAACCACTTTGTACCAAAGGTAAATATTCTCATTATATACTTTTTTGTTAAAATAATCACCTGATGATTCTTAAACAGATTCCAATTTTTAAAATTGAAAAAGTGCTCTATCACCTAACATAAGTAATGTGCAATAAAAAATAGGGACCCCCCAACTTGGAGTTACATCCCCCCAATCTATCTTTTTATCACAACTTTTACCCCAAAACAAACTTTTCTAGTAAACACCCTCCAAATAAAAGTCATTGGACGTTGGACAAAAATACCCTTGTCCGTACACGATGACATCACATGCCGATAAGATGCTTAATGACTCGAAAGAATGCAGGACAGCATGGGCATGTTGCCGGACCGTATGGGCCTGTTGCCGGACCGTATGGCCCTGTTGCCGGGCCGCATGAGCTTGTTGCCGGACCATATGGACCTGTTACTCGACAACATGGGCCTATTGCTGGACCGTATTTTGGAAATGTCAAGCCGCTTTGGGATATTGCTGGACGGCTTGTTTATATTGTCGGGCCGCCTTTTGTATGTTATGGGAAAAGTTTAGTAGTCGGTGTAAGAAGAGAGAGAGGGCATTTTGACTTTTTGACTGGGGGTATTTGCTAAAAACAAATTTATTTTTGGGATAAAATTTTGGGATAAAAAAATTAGTTGGAAGTAGGATGTAAAGAAAGTTGGATCATCGGGGGTTTCTATAATTTTCCCTAAAAAATACTATGTGCCTGCTTCAACATTGTTTCTCCAGACAACTGACATGTAAATGGGACACCGAGAGACCCTGTCTATGAAAAATAAAAGCATAAGAACACACTTTTTTGGTACACCAATGCAGACCACATTTTATTCAATGGAGCCAAAAAACTTTGTGGAAACCATCATTTCAACATGGTTTTCTTTGTTTTTTTAAAGCAACCATCATTTCAACATTCCTATAGTGATTTTACACCTTCTTATGCTACTGGTACCCCTCAAAGAACTCCTATATTCTCTACATAACCTGCAACATTGTGTTTTAAAATTCAACGATTCCATGACGTTATTGACAATTCGGATGGGAATCCATTCGGATTGAATCGATTATAGGATAGTACGGGGCTTGGACCGATTCTCTTAAGCGAACTCGCCCCCTCTCCAACATTTTTTCCTAATATTTTTCCTTCTTTTTTTAAAGATTATGTAATGTTTTTTTTTATCCCCTTAAATCCCTAGCCCATAAAATTTAATTTAAATATTTTTTTTATATTTAATATTTTTTGGTTCATTGACTTGAACCGATCCAGACCTGATCAGGATTGCCAATCCAACAGTCCGACACAATCTATAGGTGAAAGATCTGCACCGCCGATCCGAAGTTTAAAACACATGTTCCTCCCATGGCCAAGGATACCTCATTTAGGCATTTGAAACCGGAGCCAATGAAAAATAGGAGTACAATAACATGTATTTTCGGTGGGTCAACACACATAATGTTTATTTTATTTAATGCGGAAAAAACAGGAAATAAACACATGTGAAATCCATCATGTCAACACTCCTACAATGGTGGGAACCTTATTGTGAAACTAATACCACACAAAGACCCTCTCACATTCCCCTACACAACACTCTAAAGCTCTCCCCATCAATTTTGATCACATTTCGCTCCATAACCAGCACTTGTTAGCAATGCATTCTTGATCTCTTCTGGCTTTATCCTCCTGCGCTCCACCTCCTGCACAAGAGATCTCAGGAACTGAACATAGGCCATTCAATGCAAGGAAAAGAACCACGGTCCTTGTCCCATTTTTTCCGGTCCTGGCCAGGCTCATGCCTTGTTTAGGGGTAGCAATGGGACGGCCTGGCTTGACCATCTTTTTATTTATTTTTTTTCTTTGGGAGTGTATAGATTTTAAAATTTTAGGTAAAATACAAAATGCTCCGCTTATATGTGAAAATTACAAAGAAGATCGGTCAACTTGCCTTTTTTATTTTTCCAAAATTGCCCCTCAGTTAACTCAAATTTTGATTGTTTTTTTTAGATTTTTTTAGCTTTTTCATCGGTAGGGAAGCGCCTTAAAGTTTGGAGCACTAGCCTACTAATGAAAGAACTAAAACAACAAATTAAAATTCAAGTTGACCGATGGGCAATTTTGAAAAAAAATTTAAAAAAAAAGTCAGTTGAACAACCTTCTTTGTAATTTGCGCCTATAAGTGGAGCATTTTGTATTTTACCTAAAATTTTAAGGTCCGTACATAAATCACTCTGTCTCCGGCCAGGTCTGGCCCTGTCCTGCCCCTGACCTTGGCCTTATAGGGCCGGGCCAAGGCTAGCCATGTGGGAACAAGGGCAAGGCCAGGGCAGGCCCAGCCTAGGTCCAGCATGTTGCCAGCCTCACTTCAAATCATGAATAGATGCCCAAGACGGTCCGAGCCCAAAACTAAATTTTTGGGCTAAGCGGTACATGTAAACTTGGGCAGCTAGGGGTGTACATTTCCGTGTGCTTGAAGTCAAAGAAAAATTTGATGAGAAACATGCCCTAGCTACGCCATTTTACTTGGGGCAGTCTATGACTTTTGCGCATCAATGACAACCGTCCATTACATACATTCCCTTTTGACATTGGCAACCCTTTTACCCATTGCTTTTACCCGCTAATTGTGTTACCCGGAGGGAAGGGAAAACCTTTTAGGGAACACGAAAAATTGTTTCTCATGAGTGTGAAGTTTTACCTACCTATTATTTTAGAGCTTTGGGGCGGTTGCTTTAGAAAGGCAGGTCATACAAACACCTGGAGTACTTTCCCGCTTGGAGCCAATAGCCTTAGGGCCTTTTTAAGAGAGAGCAAGGCGTCCTCCCATGGGGTCATACATAAAACACCTGGTCATGAGTACTTCCTTCATCTAGATTTTTAGATCCACTTTAAAATTATGATGCGAGTATAAATTAATTTTTCAGATACATGGAAAAATATTAAAATTCTCTTTTCTCGAGGACGGTGGTTGAGTTGAGGCTACATCCCTCAAATTTGGAAATCACTAAAAAGGGGTTTTACCCTAGGGAGGAAACACCTACATGAGCACATAATATTTTAACTTTTCACTACGAAATTATTAGATTCCATGGTAGTATGATTAGATAAGTTATCAGAAAAAGATTGAAATGACACTTTGAAAACCCCCAGGTAATCCTCACAAACTTCAACAGTCTTTATTCAATCATAAGGATGTGCTCAATTGTCCTATGATTTTTCTTTCATGCAATTCGAATCAGTATAAAAATATATATAATAAAACTATTTATTTTTTATACAACGAGGTCACAATCATCATTGACTATTTAATTTTAAATCAGGTGATTGAAGATGTATCATTGGTTAAACACAAAGTCTAAAACAAAATTCTCGTATGTACTAGATTTCATATCCTAAAAGTACCTGTAACCTCTTTGTGCAAAAAATAACTAAAAAGAATTACATATGGACACTGTTTCCAGCTGTTTATTACCGAATGAGTAAATTTTCTGCATAACCCCACCATTCGACAGCCCCTTTTTTTTTTTCCCACAACTGTCTGCCTGTCCGGCAATTATAATACTTGTCCGGCAATTACAATACTGGACCAAAGGGAAATACACAAGTTTTCAAATGCCTTTTATAACTATTTACACTCATAGGATAATACTATTATTTACTCCCTTGGCCAAAATACATGCTATAGATGACTTTTAGATGTTAAATTTTGGGCATATAAACTATACAACCTATTAAAAAATCTCAGCAAAAAAAAAGTATAAATAAAATCTCTATATAGTAAAAAACAAAAATAAGCCTTGATATTGAATAGAGATAGTCTAATTTTTTAATGGCTAGATCTAAGCGTCATAAAACTCAAAATTCAAATTTTCTTTTAAAAATAATCATCTAGTAATTACTACATAGTTCACAAAATTTTAGACTAAAAATATCAATGTAGCTAGGTGTTTTGATCTAGGAGGTAGATGCACGGTGTGCTCCGTGGGAGCACATTACATGAAATGTATGAAAAACCATTTGAAAACATGAATACTTCTCTCATGTCCGGTGTTGTAATTGCCAGACAAGCAAGCATTGTGGGAAATAAAAAGGGTTGTTGAAAATAGGGGTGGTCATAAGAATTTATGTGAAAAATATACTCATTTGGTAATACATAGGTGGAAACACTGTCCGTACATAATTTTTTTAAAAAAATAAATAGTCTCATAGTATACAATCCCTTTTCTTTTTGTTTGAGTTGGTTACTAGGTTTGAATAGGTCACATCCCAAACTTTAATCTTCTTCTGAAAAGATAAAGAGGAAAATTTATCAAAAAATACCTGAGAGATAAACTATTTAGCATTGTAGCATTGTTACTTTATATTAATTTCAAAATTCACATAAAAATACACATATCCATGAGTTGGAACAGTTGCAAAAGGCTAAGCATTTAAATTGTTGGAAAAAAGTCAAATGTATTTTGATAAATTTTCAAAAGAAAATTTAAAAAAAGAAAAGGCTTGTGAAACGTCAAATTGTGAACTTCTCCCTATTCCTTAATTGTTTAGTTGAGCATCAAGCCCTAAACCACGAATTACGAAACGCTTCTTGCTCTTGTTTAAGAAGGTTCTTGAGATCTCAAACTTAGGTTCTTGAAGAATTTCATATTATCCATCATTTGGAACATCTCATGTAAATTAACTATTTTTGTTACGAATCATAAGGAAAAATCAACAATTGCATATTAAGAGTTTTAATGAGATCACCAAACCCCTTAACCATTCACTACTAGGACAATTATTGCTCTTTTTAGGTTTTAGGACAATTATTGCTCTTTTTAAGTTATTGAAAATCAGGAGAATTTGGTTTCTCAAATGTGAATCCTAAAAATCTAAGACCAAAGCATTGAAGGCCAAAGCATAAAGCGACCTCTCCCTTGTTTCTATTGTTTATGTTCTTAGAGAACTTCCAACAAAATATTCTAAGAAAATGATAGAGGTGCCTGGCTGTCCCTGGCTTGGGCATTGTCCCCATAGGGGGAGCCCAATCCTGGCCATGGCGCTATTAGGGTTGCGCCGTGCTGCCATGGCACAAATGAAGAAAAATAAAAAAAAAAACGAATAAAAGAGAGCCAGGTAGGGCCGAACTAAGCTAACACTAGCCTAGCTCGACCTTCGGTCCAAGCCCTACTTTTTCCTGGGCAGCCCATTGCCAGCGCTAGGGTTCACCCACCATTTGAGTGAGGTGCAGCACTATAGGTCATTTCTTAAAAATTTATCCCAATTAATATTTTCCCATTATGATATACCCTATTGATCAAGAAAAAGTATTATAATATGACCTACCTCCAAGCACAGTGCCTGCATAACAAAATCCCCAAAGCAGCTCATCACACATTGCTGAATTTCAAGGCCTAGGGCTTCCATGGTGTTGAGAGTTGAGTGAAGCAATCCTGGCTTTCCTCCACAGCATACCTCTATCCTTGTGACACTCCCTCTCTTCTCAACATCAAACTTCAATTAACAGAAAGGAACACTGTTTAGGGTTTTCCATGAGAGAGAAATTAAATGTTAATTGGCGATTCTCACCTTGGGGGTGCTGCGTTTCTCTTCTGCATTGTTGTGTTGAAGCTGGTGGAAGATGGTTAAGAGGTTCAGGCCATTGACATCAACTTCTTCTTGAAGGGATTTCAACCTTCCAAGCAACTCTCTAGTGTACTCTATGGTGTCACCAAGTATTGAAGTTCTATCCATCTGCTTAATCAAAACAAACAAAAGGATTATTAGCTCTCTCTCTCTCTCT